TACGTTGAAACCCCCTCTCTACTAAAAATACAAAATTTAGCCAGGCATGGTGGCATGTGCCTATAGTCCCAGCTACTCAGGAGGCTGAGGCAGGAGAATCGCTTGAACCTGGGAGGTAGAGGTTGCAGTGGGCTGAGATTGTGCCTCTGCACTCCAGGCAGGGCAACAGAGCCAAATTCCGTCTCAAAAAAAAAAAATACATAAACAAGTGTTATGGTCATTTTTAAAGTCTTAATTTTAAAATCTTAAGGTAGTTGGATGAGTCTTCCAGCACTGCCATAAAATACTATAGACTGGTTGGCTTAAATTTCATTTTCTCACAATTCTGGAGATAGGAAGCCCAAGAGCAAAGTGCCTGCTGATTAGGTCCAGGGATTTCTTCCCAGCTCGCAATCTTCTTAGAGAGTCTTCTAAGACTTCTAAGACTCTTCTTAGAGTCTTCATGTAGCAGAGAGAAATAGTGAGCATCTGCTCTCTCTCCTTGTAAGGATCCTATCAGACCAGACAAGGGCTCCATCACGGTCACCTTAATTACTCCCTTACTCCAAATTCAGCCAGACTGGATGTTACGGCTTCAACATACGAATTTTGGGGACATGGTTCAGTCCATAGCAGAGGTCTTTCCACAAGAAAAAAGCAACATGATGGTTCTGTCTTTCTAGTTTTTGTGAGCCATTCCTTACAAGAAACTGGCTTCCCCAAGTTACCCTGGATGACTTGTATTTTACCTTTTTTTTAATAAATAAATTAAATTACTGTATTGATGAGGTGACAATGCCTTGATCAGGATTGTAAACGCATCCTGGGTCCTGGGATTCAAACATATAGTGGGGATTCTGTCCCAATCTCCAGTGCTGCTTTTTCCCAGTGTCAGCCTTGTTCTCACACAGCTCCCTCGAGGGGTGGCAGGAAGGCCAGGCAGGGGAGATGAATTAGCCAAGCAGTCTAGGCATGGGGCAGGAGGGAATGGTGGGGACTGCGGTAAACCTTAGGACAGAGGCCCCATGTAACAGGCTCAGCAGCAACCGAGGGCCATCCGATTACTGCCAGGAGAAATTCATGTCCCAGTTTCCAGATGTTTTTACATTTTTAAATAAAATCCAGAGATCTGAATTTGTTATGTGATTTTCAGTGCTAATTTCATTTTTTAAAATTGTACTTTAGGTTCTGGAGTACATGTGCAGATCATGCAGGATTCTTGCATAGGTACATACATGGCAATGTGGCTTGCTGCCTCCATCCCCCCATCACCTATATCTGGCATTTCTTCCCATGTTATCCCTCCCCAGCCTCCCCACCCCCTGCTGTCCCTCCCCTAGTTCCACCCCACAGACCCCAGTGTGTGATGCTCCCCTCCCTGTGTCCATGTGTTCTCATTGTTCAACACCCGCCTGTGAGTGAGAACATGTGGTGTTTGATTTTCTGTTCTTGTGTCAATTTGCTGAAAATGATGGTTTCCAGAATCATCCATGTCCCTACAAAGGACACAAACTCATCCATTTTAATGGCTGCTTTTATAATTTCATTTTTAAAAGATTGACAACTAATTAGATGCTAAAAATTGTATTGGATGAGAAGAAAAATGTCTTCTGGTTGCAACTAGCAGGGGTTCTATTTTGGATCTCTAGCCTAAGCTTCTGGAGGAAATTGGTGAAAGTATCAACATCATATTTGTGGGGGATTAACGTGCATATATGTCCGATTTTGTCCTTGCCTATTGAGTTTATTACTGAAGACTCAATGTCATAAAGTATATCTATGAGATCGTTCGTGGCACTGGGTTCAGATGGTCTAATCTTACAATGTTAAAAAAAAATAGAGTCAATTCCAGTAGTAACTTTTTTCTCCAGAATAATTGCTTAAATATCTGGCACACTCTGCAGTCACCCTTGGTTTCTCTTTTTTAACGAGATGACTCAGTTGAATAAGACATATTATATTGTTATTTTCTATTTTGTTTGGGTTTGAGAATGAACAATTGTTGATTTTTTTCTGCTTAGCATTCCTTTGCCCTTCCTGTCCTGTTTTCCCACAGCATCTAAGAATGCTATGGAAAGACACCACCAGTCCTTTACTTTCCAGCCTTGTACTTCAGGAAAAACCGAGTTTTTTCAGGCCTCAGTAGGAGGCTTCCTGGCACAGGCTGGAATGCTCAATACATTCTTCCCCCAGGCCACAGAGATAGGGTTAGGGACGGCACTGACACACTGGGGACAGTAACACATGGCATGGCTTCTTTCTTCTGCTGCTGTGACTTGTGGAAAAGGAACCCTAAGCAGTTCTTGATGGACTGAACGCTGTTGTGTACGAAATGATGTTCTTGTCACCATGTGGAGCTTCAGCAAAACGCCGCACCACGGAAAGCAGGACTGAGAAATGAATGAAAAGGCATCTTGGTGCCATTGTTTGCCCCTGAATCCACCTGAGCCTGAAGCCAGTCTACTCCTAGCCTTTCCAGCAGTGACTGTGTGCTTTACATTTAAATACAACTAAAAGAATCCTTACTGATATACATAATGGCCAAAGGAGAAGGTCAGTCTCGTTAGTGAGAAGTCCAGAGCAAATGAACTCCATGCATGGTCCCATCAAAATGAAGTCAAAGGTTAAGGGCACATTTAAGTTGTCTCATAGAGTGTTCCTGATGAGTGGAGAGAATATGAAATCCCATTTAACACAGAGAAAACAAATTGAACCTCAGAAGGGTTATGTGACTTTTCTCAGTACCTACCGTGAGCTCACACAGGCCTGGGGCTCCAGCCCAGGGGTCTCAGCTTCTCAGGTGGCTTCTCTCAGTACCTACCGTGGGCTCACGCAGGCCCAGGGCTCCAGCCCAGGAGTCTCAGCTTCTCAGGGCACCAGCTGCCTCCTATTTAGGTAGTGACAGAGCTGCTAGGATTGCTCGTTGAACTTCCAAATACCAGCTCCTAGATTCAGCACTTAATATTTTGCAATGTTTGCTTACAACATACCTATCCATGTGGTTCACCGTCCACCCTTTAATCCGCCTTCTTCCATGTTTTAATTAGAGGCCATCTTAGCTGATGCACAGACTTTTATTCATTTGGCACAGATACAATACCTCCCACTAGGCATTGGGATGCAACAGTGACCTAAATACCAAAAATGTTTCCTTTCAGGACATTTTTGGGGGGTTGATGGTTGATAGAAAAGTAAACAAAACATACACACAGGACATGTTTAGGTAGCAATAGATGCTTTTAAGGAAGCAAAATAGCCTGAAATGATTGGTGGCTGCATCTCTCAAACACATTCCAGCTAGGAAAACAAAAAAAACTTCTAGGTATTTTAACACAGGGATATAGTATAGGGATTATTTCCGTAGGTGTAGAA